GTCAAGGAGTCGTGCTGAGTTAGCACGTCTCGGCCGGCATCATGTCAGTGAGTCATCGTTCATGTCCAATTGCTCGTCTCTGTGTGGATTTGTGGAGTGGAAGCGATGTGAATGGTGTTTCATGAGTCATGTCCATGTCCTCGTGGAGCGTCCTGGTTGCAGCCAGTGTGGATTCGATGTGATGTCGAAGGCGGACGGTGGTAGGCAAAGCCATCATAAAGCGACGAGGTGTGCGAGCAGTGGAGAGTGGAACTACTGCAAGCAAGTACAAGAAGTATGGTGCAGACCGAGTGCAAGGCATCGGCTAAGCAATGGCGATGGCACAACATGACAAAGCAAGGAGGTGCACTACATGTTTCCAGACGGGTTATACTTAGTGTACGGATATGACGGTTGAAGAGAAAGCTTCGCGTGTAGTGGGACAGTGACCTGTTAAGTTGTACGACGTGAAGATTGATGGTGCGTCCAGTCTTGCACGATGCACAAGTGGATGCGGCTGTGTGGGTTGGTAGTCCGGATCATGCATCGGAGTTTGGATCGACAAGTCGTGAATTTACGACGAGTCAAGATTAGAAAGAGCACATGGCAATGAAGTCAAGATTAGGGGGAGATTGTCGAAATAATCTTGTCTTTGATCATGATTGAGTCATCTAGCAGGAGTTTATACTAGATTTTAGGCTAATGGTGATCAAGGCAACCGGTGATTAGTATCGCCTGCATGCGAGTAGCAGTACTAGTCCGGTTCATATAGGCCATCAAGTCCAAGTAGTATACGGTCTAAGCAGAGCCGGTTTGGTTTGGCTGTGTAGGAGTACAAAGTTACTACGTAGGGATATGGTCGTGTATGTGTGTGTATATATATATATATATAGATGTACACGACATAGATTTGTAACACTGTGAATTGAGAAAATAGAAAAAAATAAAGAAGAGAAAGAGGGCACGACAAGGACTCTGGCTATCAGTTATGCGTGTATGTGTTCGTCGTGATTTGAGATGACTGATCATGAGGGCTGTAATCCCAACAGTCTAAATTTTTGACAACACCAAAAATAAGAGATTGCCGCCGCCGACTTACTCCGTCATCCTCACATTGGTAGAAGACCTAGCCTTCGTTCTCATCCATCCTCAAGACGTACAACTTTGCTTGGTTGCGATAATTGGGGAAAGACAAATGGGGAATCGCTGGGGAACGATTAGGCGTCCTGACATGGAATAACTGATGGAGGACATGGCGAGGGCAGACATTAGCAACGAGGGATTTGGGGATTCCACAGAGTCAACACGGAGAAGGAATGACAAATGAGAGGATTCCCGCCTACAAATGGTTCTAACCATAGAGTGAGTGGTCATGAGAGGACCAGAGCACAAAATGTTAACTCCGCCATCCGAGTTGCCACCAAATAATTTTAAGTAC